TATCATTGTTAACCAAGCAAAGTAGCAATAATGAAAGCAGTAAATGAAGATCTCACATCGGTTAGAGAGGAAAACGAAACATTCCTTGTAAGGGTGTGGAAACCTCTCCCTAACAAGCGTGTTTTAAAACCATGAGGTTGATGGCAATATGTAAGGCCAAAGCCAACAATATCTATTAGCGGTGAGTTTGGGTTGTTACTAATGGTATCAGAGCCAAGTTTCGGACGTTGGACCCCCAAATGAGGTGGATTGTGAGATTCCACATCGGTTGGAAAGGGGAACGAAACGTTCTTATAAGGGTGTGAAAACTTCTCCTTAACAGATGCGTTTTCAAATCGTGAGACTGACGACGATACGTAACGGGCCAAAACAAGCAATATCTGCTAGCGGTGGGCTTTGACTGTTATACATTTGAAATAAGTGAATGGTAATAAGAAATCAACTGGAAAGAGGGCTCGAGTCTTATAAAAGGTTCCCCCGGTCGAGACAGTGATAAAAGAAAGATGGAGTAGGAACTCCTAGTTAAGCCTTAAAACGAATAATGTCCCAAACTTTCCTCCTTTCCGACTGCACCTCCCGGTAATCGTAGAGAAACTTTGATAGCTTTAAATAATCTAGTTATCGACATCGTGAAGGAGATTGTTGTGAGATCGAGAAGCAAGTCTGTCATGAAATCGAGACGAAACTTTCGCTAGATATAATAAATTTTGCAGCCCCAAATGGAGAATGGTGAGATTTCATAGTGAAAAGTATATTGATTCATTTGTTTTGAATTGTGTAGGTCATTGCAGAGAGCTTATCTGAAGAAGAAATTGCTGGCCTCAAGGAAATGTTCAAGATGATAGATACTGACAACAGCGGTCAAATCACATTTGAAGAACTCAAAGCTGGATTGAAAAAGTTTGGAGCTAATCTTAAGGAGTCCGAAATTTATGACCTAATGCAAGCAGTAAGTTCGTGCTTTCTGATACCGCTATAAATGCATAGCTTAATCTACTAGTATTTGTAGCGATTCACTTGCGACATTGTGAGCTTTCACATCGGTTGGAGGGGGGAACGAAGCATTACTTATAAAAGTGTGGAAACCTCTCCCTAACAGATGCGTTTTAAAACTTTGAGAGAAAGTCTAGAAGGGAAAGTCCTAAGAGACAATATCTGCTAGCGGTGGGCTTAAACTGTTACAAATTGTATCGGAGTCAGGCACCCCGCGGTGTGCCAGTGATGACGTTGGTCCCCAAAGGGGTGGATTGTGAGATCCCAGATCGGTTGGAGAGGGGAACGAAACATTCCTTAGGGCGTAGAAACCTCTCCCTAGCGGACTTGTTTTAAAACCTTGAGAGAAAGTCTAGAAGGGAAAACTCAAAGAGGACAATATTTGTTAGTAGTAGGTTTGAGTTATTACGGACAATGTTGAGCGTTTTTTCTTAACTATTAACTCATTGGTCGGTAGACATGTTTCAAGTCTATGCTATGGAATTGCAGGCAGATATAGACAACAATGGAACCATTGATTACGGGGAGTTCGTAGCTGCCACATTGCATCTAAACAAAATCGAGAAGGAAGATCATCTTCTAGCAGCGTTTTCATATTTCGACAAGGATGGAAGCGGGTTCATTACCCACGACGAGCTTCAACAAGCATGTAAAGAGTTCGGGATAGAGGATCTTCAAATGGAAGAAATGATGCGCGAGGTCGATCAAAACAATGTAAGTAATTCCATTTGTCATGTCAAGACATCAAAACTTCCTACTATTCGAGACCGAACTCTTCTTTCGCTACTATTTCCTCAATGCTCTCCTTACTTTACAGGACGGAAGTATCGACTATAACGAGTTCGTGGCGATGATGCAAAAAGGAAATGTAGTGAATACTGGCAAGAAAGGTCTACAAAGTAGCTTCAGCATTGGCTTTAGGGAGGCTCTAAAACTCTAGTGTATTATGTAAAGGTAACATTCAAGTTAGTTTCTTTATTGTTCTTGCCTGCAAGTTATTGTAGAGCAAGGAGCACGGCCGCTCGCCTGCTCGGGTTCGATACCACGTCATTCATTTCGACCTCTCCTTTTCCCCTCGTTCTCAACGAGTATTCTTCACCTGAATCAAACACAACACGTAAAATACTATGCAGAGAACAAGCCATATATTTTTTTTTTCCTTTTTTTTTCCTTCCATTGTTTTGTATGACTTCTGATGAGAAATGAGTTTGAAGCTTTTGGTCAGATTTGCCTTGATTTTTCGTGTTTGAGCCGCTCTTTTATAGGGACAAAATCGTCTTTTATCTTTTTAAACCGTTCATTGCATAATGAAAATACTTGTACACGGTAATTACCATAGAGTTATATTTACTTTAGAGTTGTTTTTTTACCATTTAACGGTTTACAATTTATAGCTTGAAAATACTTCTAATCGATTTACCTAACTTAAAAATTACATTAAATATTAACCCAAAAAAATTTAAAGTATAGAAACTAAATTATTATATATTTTAAAGTATATCATTTTTATTTATTTATAACGAATTAATCGGTGAATGAAAAAATAAAAAAAAAATAAAATGTAAGAGTATTTTTATTAAAATTTAATTTGTGATATTTAAAATATTTCGCAAAAATGGGTGATAAAACTAAGTATATTATTAATAACTTTATATTAGATATATGAATTATGACTTTATGGATTATATAATAATATGTATGTATATATATGTGTGTATATGTATGTATATGTATATATAATGGGCTTGAAACATTCAAACGTAGTAGTTAGTTGACTTTGTCATATATATATATATATATATATATATATATATATATATATAGATATAGATAGATAATCAATCAATTTTTTTTTGTTATTTAATATAATATTCTCTGTCTTTTTTATTTTTTCTTTTAATTTTCTACAAGTCTATTATTGGATGGAGGATGTAATAAGTAATGAAAAATATATAAAATAAAATGTTGACTATCGGGATTTGGTGTCGATAGAAGTCAACATGTAACGATCCAACTTTTCTAGACCTAGACGGACTATGATCATTACTAACTGCATGTTGTTACCAATTAAGAACTCGAAACAGAAAACAAAAGAGCGTATAACTTACGTTATCGAGACAATTTTGGTACATGCTTGAGGTCCCGTAACTGTTTTTTTAATAACATAATACATGCATGCATAAGCATCACATAAATCACGATCACAACCAATGCATACACATTTCGAAAGGTCATTTATCTCGATGAATCTCTAATAGCAACGAATTTCCAATCCTAACTCTAAGAATCAAACCAAAAATTGAAATGGACCAACCGAACAAAAACATGGATTTGGATCGGGTTGAATCCAAATAAATAAAAAGTTTATGGATTGGTTTGGTTCATAGGTTACACAACTCAAGTTGAGTTGAATCGAACCAACTCGAATTTATGGTTAATTTTAAATAAAAAATACATTTTTTCTTATTATACAATTATATATATAAATATTTATTTTATTTTTATTTAATTTCATAATTATTACTTTTTATTATTTACCCTCTACGGTGGAAAATAACTATTTAAAAAGTGAATATATACTGAAATTGAGTTATAAATTTTAATTAGAGGTTTGAAATAAATAAATAGATATTTTATTAAATAACATTTTTTTTATTAAAAATATTTTTTTTTGAATAAACATAGATTTATATTCAACATAATAGTTAAAAATTTAGTATAACACTTAAGTAAAATAGGAGTATATGAATGAATCGATATCACATATGAACGAGAATGATTTTAAAAAACATGATCGTTAAGAAATTCTTTATAATTTAACTTGTTTTTAGTTCATCAACTACTGAGGTGAATTCAAATATCTCATGTGATGATATATGTTGTGAGATTCCACATTAGTTAGAGAGAGGAACGAAACATTCCTCATAAGGGTGTGAAAACCTCTCCCGAACAAATCAATTTTAAAACTGTTAGGTTGACAGCCATACGTAAATGACCAAAGTAGACAATATGTGCTAGCGGTAGGCCTGAGCTGTTACGTATGGTATTAGAGTCAGACACCGCGTGGTGTGCCAACGAGGACGTTGGGCTTTAGGGAGGTGGATTGTGAGTTCTCATATTGGTTGGAGAGGGGAACGAAACATCCCTCATAAGGGAGTGAAAACCTCTCCCTACCCGTTTTAAAACCATGAGGGTGGACAATATCTGCTAGCGGTGGGCTTGAGCTATTACAAATGGTATTAGAGCCAGACAACAGGCCCTAGGGGGTGGATTGTGAGATCTCAGATTGGTTGAAAAGAAGAACGAATCATTTTTTATAAGAGTGTGAAAACTTTTCTATTAGCAGACGCACTTTAAGACTAATACGCAACGGGCCTAAGCGAACAATATTTGCTAACAATAGGTTTGGGTTGTTACGCCTTGATATAGGTATATATGGGTCGGTATTTTTTTGACCAACCTTGAATTTATAAGTTGGTCTATTTACCAACCCGATTAACAACGACAACCAAATCCAACCCATTCAACCTAATCTCGAGTTGGGTCAAGTTGAGTACGTAGGTTCGAATAATCATGGTATGAAATCTAGTTGGTTGATTCAAATAGCATTGCGACGAAGGGCTAAGATCAACCATCATTGAATAACCAGCAAACAAACGAGAGACATGTCAATGATAACTCGAGGATAATATTTAAAATAATTTTTTTTTTCTAGTTACTATTGGTAAATTTGATTAAATGTTGTATATTTTGTTTTAATTTAGTTATTAAAACAATAGAATATGAAAAAAAAAAAAGAAAAAAAAAAAGAATAATTTAGTTATTAAAACTATTAAAAAATATATATATTAGGAGAGAGAAGTGGTTGTTTGTTTTCATGGAGAGTAAATCTCTCTCTTTCTATCTCTTCTGAAAATTGAAGTGTGGAGCCCAAATTCATGAGCCTTTTTGCACTTTTTTTTTTTCTTTTCAATATAAATATCCATCAAATCCTCTCTTTCAGTTCTTCAATTCCTCATTTCTTCAATTCTTCCCCCAAAATATTCTCTACGTATCTTCTTCAAATTCTCGTTTCTTATCCCTTTTCCTAATCCAAATCCCCAATCAATTCGATCTTCTTCTTCGATTCCTTTCCAATCGATCTTCTCTTCCTGCGATTCAACAATCCGATATTCGTTGTTGATTCTGTTTGTCTCTGTGTTTTTGTTTTTGGTTTGATTTGGTCATTTAATGGTGGTGAAACTGGTCCGATGGACGTCTTGGCAGGCGTTCTCGTCGAGAAAATACGAGGCGATCATCAATCTTCGCCGATTGGAAGGATTGGCGAATCTATCGCTGAAGGATTCGAGTGGTTTAGTGGTGGAAATCAAGTGGAAAGGGCAGAAAATTATAGGTCTGAGTTCTTGGCGACGGTCTGTGAAGAGGAACTACACAGATAAGGGCAATGTCTGTGAAGATGGAGCATCGGTAGATTGGAATGAAGAGTTTAGGATTTTGTGTTCAATTCTCGGCTCGAAAGAGGATCTGATTCCTCCATGGAAGCTTTCTCTCACAGTTCTTCAAAAAGTAAGCAATCGATCCCTCAACTTTTCGTTGAAAAATTCTTTGTTCTTAACGAATTTATTGCTCGCTGTTTGAATTGATTGAATTAATGGTATTGAATTTTTGTCATGCTGTTTCTTCTGCTTGGTTCCCATGGAGGATTTGACTTTTGACGATGAAGACAAGTCGATTTTAATTATTTTGCCCTTTTTGTAATTTTTTATGTTTTTTTTTTTCTTTTTTTTTTTTCTCTCTAATTTTCCTTTTGGGTTGGGGCTGGTGGGATGATTTGATATTGATATTCCAATTTTCCTTTTTCTGTGTTGACTTTTTCTACCGTTGAAAATAAAAGTATTTAGAACATTATCTTAATTATGTGTCCCCATATTATGATATGTAATTGTCACTTTATGATATAATTTTCAGTAATAGTTTACATTTCTAACACAAACAGTATAGTATTCTACCAGATGCCATCATCTCTCATAAATGGAATTTAATGTGTTCTGCTTTCCATGCGAATAATTTTATAATTAAAGTCATTTCATAACATTCGTGTTTTAAGACTGCGACTGTGAGACTACACAGATAATATTTGCTAGCAGTAGACTTAGATTGTTATAAATGATATCAGAGCTAGTCACTGGACGATGTGCTAAGGTGTGACTGTGACTGGTGTGCTAATGAGTACCCTAGCCCTCAAGGGGGTGGATTGTGAGATCCTACATCGAATGGAAATGAGGACAAAACATTCCTTACAAAGGGTGTGGAAACCTCTTGAACAATATCAGCTAGCAGTAGGCTTAGATTGTTACAAATGGTATCAGAGTCCGTCACCAGACGATGTGATAGAGTGACTAGTGTGCTAGTGAGTACCTTGGCCCTCAAGAGAGTAGATTGTGAGATCCCATAACAGATGGAGAGAGGAACGAAGCATTCCTTACAAAGAGTGTGGAAACCTCTTACTAGTAGAGAAGTGTTCAGAGCCCGTCATCGGGTGATGTGCTAGAGTGTGACTGGTGTGCTAGCGAGTACCCTAACCCCCAAGGGAGGTAGATTGGAATGGAGAGGGGAAGCATTCCTTACCGAGGGTGTGGAAACCTCTTACCAATAGTTAAGCGTTTTGAAACTGTGAGGTTGACAGTAATATATAACCGGTCAAAGCGGACAATATCTACCTGCAGTGTGGTGTACTTTTAGCTGTTACAAATAAACCATATAAAAATAATTTGATAGATCCCGAGCCTTGTCTTGTCCCGCTATGTTAAATGAAGGAAAGGGCCTTTGGGAGGTCCTTTCTATTCCCTTTGTAAATATTGGAGCCTTCAGTCTTTCATAATCAGTTTATCCTGTCTTTTGGGGCAGTGATTTAGCACTTAAATGTTATCACTAATTGAGATCTATATTTTACTACCTCATTACACAGGGAGAAAACCAAGTAGTTCGAAATAGCTATGCTGTAGTCGGGACTGCATCACTGAACCTAGCAGAATATGCTTCTTCATCTGATGGAAATGAGATTTCGATCAGCCTTCCTCTCAACGTCCGTGGCAGCACTGCAGCAGAGCTTAGCCCCTTGCTCCTTGTAAGTACTTCAAGCACCAACAATAACACATTTCAACTTCAACAGCATCTGCACATCTTGTTCCCTGATGTAATTCGTCTTCGATTTTGCAGCTCTCTCTTAGCCTCGTGGAGCTGAGAACTGATACAAAGCCTTTGAGGACGATGCAGAGGTCGATTATGCCTGTGACGCTCTCCCCAACTTCACCATTGTCTTTGTCAACAGAGAAAGAAGGGTTATCTGCAATAAGAGCAGGTCTAGATAGAGTTAAAATATTTAGACAATGTGTATCAGCAGGAAAAACTAAGGAAGTATTCCATGAAGAAAACATTGCTACAGTTAATGGGTTTTACATTAAAGATAAGGATTCTTCTCAGAGTTCTTCGCTTGATTCGGACTCGCTAGATGATGGTGTGAACGAGGAGGATTCACGTGTTCAGGAGCTATTTGGTTATGAAAAACTAGCCCATGCCAACCGTGTAGCAGGAATTTTCCTCCCTGGTACAAAGACCAACAATGGAGAAGAATGTTGGATCTATTGTGGCAATGGTGCAGGATGCTTGGACATTGATAGTGATAGTTCACAAACTACGCAGCAGAACTCGATGCGCAAAATGTTGTCGTGGAGGAAGAGAAAGCTAAGCTTCAAATCTCGTAAAATTAAAGAAGAGCCTCTTCTGAAGAAACATTATGGTGAAGAAGGTGGAGACGATATCGACTTTGCTCGTAGGCAGCTGAGCACAAATGAGCTTTTCACTTGGGTATATTCTCAAGACCTGAACTGCACTGTGTTTCGCTCTGCTTTACTCAGAATTTGTAGGTATTTCTAATAGCTCAATGATAATGGCCTCCTGTTCTTGTTCTTGCAGTGGTATAATCTGGAGTTATCAGCAGCTGCATTTGGAGATGATAACTTTGCTGTGGGTAGTTGGGAGCAGAAGGAGGTAACCAGTCGAGACGGACACTTGAAAGTCAACACCGAAGTCTTCTTCGCCTCTATTGATCAAAGGAGCGAGCGTGCTTCCGGGGAAAGTGCCTGCACAGCTCTAGTTGCTGTTATTGCTGATTGGTTACTTTCCAACCAAAACGAAATGCCCATCAAGTCTGAATTAGACAACTTGATCAGAGATGGATCTGCAGAATGGAGAAACCTTTGTGACAATAAAGACTACCTGGAGCAGTTCCCTGATAAACACTTTGATCTCGACACAGTGATTGATGCAAAAATCCGACCTCTGTCTGTTGCTGCAGAGAAGTCATATGTTGGATTCTTCCACCCAGAAGGATTGGAGGAAGAGGGTGTTTTCGAGTTCCTTAAGGGCGCCATGTCTTTCGACACCATATGGGATGAAATCAGCCTCCTTGCAGCAGACCTTCCAACAAATGCAGGTGAATCGATAGTCTACATTGTGAGCTGGAATGACCACTTCTTCATCTTGAAGGTTGACAAGGATGCTTACTACATCATAGACACTTTGGGCGAGCGGCTCTACGAGGGGTGCAATCAGGCGTACATTCTGAAATTCGACAGGGAGACGGTAATTAGTAGATTACCAAACAAAACAAATGCATCAGAGGAGAAAACCTCCAACACAAAGCAATCAAAGAACACAGAGCCATCAGATAAGAAAGCCTCCATTGACACAAAACAATCAAAAAGCAAAGAGTCATTGAAGGAGAAGAACACCATTGTCACAAATCAATCAAAGAGCTCAGAACTATCAGAGAGAAAAACGTCAATTAATACAAACCAATCCTCAGAGCCATCAGAGGCAGAACCATCTACTGATGTGCCACAACTAAACAATACAGAGATGTTAGAAGAAAAACCGCCAGTCGATGTCATGCAACCAAGTGATTCTGGAGAAGCTACAACACCAGAACAGTCGAGTAGCCCAAAAGAAGCTTTGACTGAGAACAAAGATGAGTCGAGGAATGATGATGATACAGACGAAGAGGTTGTATGCACAGGGAAGGAGTGCTGCCAGGAGTATATCAAGAGCTTTCTTGCAGCAATTCCGATCAGGGAATTGCTGGAAGATGTGAAGAAGAAAGGTTTGAGTTCATCAACACCCCTTCATCAACGGCTACAAATAGAATTCCACCGTGCCAAAATGATTTTGGGTGAATCAAATTTTGGCAAAAGCAACGACTAAGGATTAATTACATAAGTTAACTCAAAAGCTCTGTTTTAGTTCTACTTAACTTTTGGAGATCCATCTTGTTTAAACCACTGTATTAAGGAATGAAGTATTGAAGAGGGCATAAGTTAAATGTTTATAAAGCCCCTTAATTCCATACTTACTAAATTCCTTGTAATTATTGCTCCACATATTTCATGGCATATATATATTTAGTAAAATAATATGTGTACCTTTTGTGGATTTGGAACAAATAAACTTAAGTTTCAGGTTAATTTGATGAAACAAATCCCTATAATCGTCTAAAAACTCGAGCATTCACTCCAAATTTGTAATATATCCAATGTATTAGATAAGAACTAGAGAATTATCTTGTTCTATTATTATATAAAAAAATTATTCAAAAGCTAATGGGATTTAATGATTTTTATCTCATAAAACAAAGAATTTCAAATGACTAAATAACTAAATAACTAATTATGGTAAGTGACCACCAAATAGCAACCAGTGACAGCAGCAGAGAAACCCCAATTCAAGACATTAACTCCTCAGCTCTACATTGAAATAACTACTCAACAAAAGAATGTGAAGTAAAGGCTGCGAGTATATTCACTCAGCTAAGAATATTGTAAGTGATCACCTTCACTAACCGTATAGAAAGGTCTGTCCTTAAGACACCTCCAACTGGAAAGAGCTGTTGTACAAGTTTAACCACTCCCAGCAAGGATGCATCATTCTGCAGTCAGCATTCAAATTGGTTAAAGTTTTATGGTATTTGATATGGGGAAGAAAAGTAAGATATTAACAATAATAGTCATGAGAAATAAAAGTAAAGATTTTCCTTCCCATTTTAGATGATGTTCGCCTTACCACGTAAACAATATCAAAAGTGCACTCGTAGCGTAGCGGTCAAGAGAGTTTTTGATGGTGTCATTCCTGCAAAAGGAGCTTATTATTGAGTACAAGAACGAATATTCATACGACCGAAACAGGACCTTAATTCTCATCTAGCACAAAAATATTGTTTTATAGTATGTGTTCATACAAAAACCCCAAACAAATGACATCGACAAGGAAGTTTAAAAAGATTACGTACAAAAACCCCACGGATATCTAAGTGTCATACTTTGAACCATCTGAAATCCTCAAATCCCCTATGTGGTCACCAAATTGTCCATTTTCTTACAGAGGCACTATTATCAATAGCGCCATCTACATCACCCAATTGGTCATGAAGAGGAGCAGCCATATCAAGAGCACGCTCATTTTTATTTAAACTATGAATTAACAATACCATAAGCTCATTCAAATGTAACAATCATAACAACCGCTAATAAAATGACCAAGGAAAAGTAATAGCCATCTTAAAAAAGGAAGGTACCCTGAAATGATAAGAATCGATCCGATCGCAACTTCGAATATGGAATTCATCCACCCACGTAGTTTTTGTGAATCCATATGACTTTTGTTCTGTCATTTCTTTATTTTTTCTAAAGCTGAATTCTTCATTCTTTTCTTGATGAAATCTCTCTATTCATTGAATATTCAATTCAAAATGACATTACAAACAAAAGAAACAGAAGGGGGTCGCTTCAATTTCCCAGGATTGAGAAGGAGATTTTCCTAATAAGGCAGCCATTATCATCAAACACCATTCTATTTTAAACGATCCAAATATTCTTAAAATATCCGTGAAGCTTCTGCCTCAAGACCTGGTCCAGGAAGTAGAAAAGGCAGGTATCAAGAAACGACGCAAGTGAGCTTTCGATATTGAGCTTCGGTTTCTCTTCTATCGAAATGGTAGGACAATTTCCAAAAGGTGGTAATATTTATAAAGTTCATCCGTCCTAGAATAATATTCAGGGTTTCCCTGCTTTAGAAGATTATGAGAGGCTATACAAGTTTTAATCTTGTCAGCAAAGCATAAATCAAGTTCATCAGGTTGAAAAAATAGAGATTCACTAAGAAATCTTCACAAAGTTAGCACAGTAATAGTCATCAAATCTTATCTTGCCCTCGGCAGCCATCAATCCAGTATCACGCTAGCGTAGCATCAAAGTCAGAAATGACCTAAACAAGATCTCCTACTGTTATTCCTATAAACAGCGGTCAAGAAATGCGACTTGTACGAGCATTTATCCACAGAAAACTTCAGGCTCAAAAACAAAGAGCAAAACCTGGAGCTTATGCAAACCTGAAAGGCGCGTAGAGTCGAGTTTCTTCTTCGGCAGATCGGAATCTACAATAACTGCCTCAGAAGCCCTCACGAACTTATTTTCCTCCATCCCAATCACGCTTCGGCTTCCAAAAAACAACGCCTACGAGAGAAAAACGAATAGAACAGTACACGACCATCAAAAAACAGATTACTGAAGTGAAAATGCCGCATAACCGTGCAAGAGAATATTGGATTTGACGCAAATGATTCGGCAAAAATAATCGAGCACAAGAGAAATGAGTACTGAAAGCAACCTGGAACCGAATGATGGAGAAGAAGACCGAAGCTTAGAGGTGGAACTGAAGCGAAGAGGAATCGTTGAATTGCATTGGACTCGACGGCTCATCTGTTCGTTCGCCTGAACTCAATGAAGAAGTATCGTTCTTTTTCGGTACGGAAGGGATTATTTTATTGCATTTTTGCATTTTTCTTTTTCTTATTTTATTAAATATTTTATTTCACTCTTAGTCCAACTTGAACATAATTTAGAGGTAAGAATTTATTATCTCTTTATTGAAAAAAAATTAGAGATATATATATTTTATAATATTTATATATATAAATTAATTTAACTAAAAAAGATTAATTTCTACTAACATCCTTCCAACTTTTATAATATATATATATATATTTTTTTTTTTTTTCATTTCAAATTAATTTATTAAATTGTCACATTATAAATCTCGAGCTTATATCAATTAAAAAGATCTTGGCGTGTGAAGGATCTTATACCTGGCTCCTCCTAACTAATCAAGTAGCAAGCCAAACTACACGTGATAAGTTGAGTTTTAAACCGCTATTTTTTTGATAGACAAAATATCAATTACACAAAACATATGAGAAGATACAACACAAAACTCACCAACAATCTCCAATTCAATCACCACAACAGTTGAACTAAACTAAAAAAAAATGTTCAGAAGCCCAAAGCAAAGTCATGAGAACTTATACGGACAATATCATGTCATTATAAAGAGTCGTATTTGTCTAACTTGGTATCAGAGTCATGCCTTAAACTTAGTCATGCCAATAGAATACTCAAACGTCGAACAAAGGGTTCCAAAAGAAAAAGGAGTCGAGGATCTTCTAAGGCATAGTAAAAAAATGACTAAGACTCTAAAAGAAAAAGAAGTCGAGTCTCGATTAAGAGGAGACATGCTTTGTTCGAGTAGAAGTGTTTGATGAAAGATCCACACTAGCTAATTTAGAGAATCATAATAAGTTTATAATCAAATAATACTATCTCCGAAGTCTTTTGGAGAAGCCCAAAACAAAGTCATGAGAATTTATGCTCAAAATGGACTATCATACTATTGTGGAGAGTCGGGTTCGTCGTCCATTAAAAGAAAAACATCAGAGCAGCCCCCAAAACAAAGTAAAACATAAGATGTACAGATATTCACCACTATTAAGGTTCAAAAAATCAGTAATATAAGGCACAAAAAATAACAAACTGATGTTTTTGACTGTAAATGTGAAGGCTAAACGTAAGATTTTTGGCATTATCATTGCTTCTCATTCTCCTAAGGCACAAAAAATAGGTGTTCATCAACAAGCAAAGGTGAAAATAAGATAAAAATCTTGGCACTTGGAACAAAAGAACCACAGATCGTTCTGTTTCCCAATCCTATTTTATCTGCAACTCCAATACATAATCTTTGAATGCTTCATAAGCTAGATAGAAAAACACATTTGAGAGGAAAGAACATAAAACGAACGTGAAACTTACTTCGTAATCCTATGACTGAATCAACATAAAATCCATCTATTTATTTTCAGAAAACCTGGATGACTGGCAGGTGGTTTGCATGCTAGATCCAATTCGTCCTCCTGAAAACGTTCAAAATCATTGTTGCGCACACTGCACTCTCTGGGCACCTCCATGCATATCTTCATCTTCGTCGTATGCCTCTTGTACCTGCTTCCTGCGCATCTCTTCCTCGATGTTGACATCATGGAGAGTGGTCTCTTCGCATTCATCCAACTCCATATCTGATAGCTGCACTGATGACCGGGGTGGCAGCACACCCTCCAGCGCCTTGCATTGTTCAGGGTTCAAGGAGTCTGGGAAGTCGACACTGAAGTGGATGTAAAGTTTACCCTTCATGAATGGCCTCTGGTACATTGGCATACCCTCATCGTTTATAGCCTTGAATTGGTCTGCGCAAATTAAGATAGGAACGATGTAAGGAAATGCCACTACATAAAGTGGAAAAAACGCATCGAACGTGTTGAATCATGAACAGTAGCATACCAGGCTTAACTACTTCGCCAGGATGGGATTTGATGAGAAGCTGTCGGCCATCCAAGTGTGTCAGAATAAACTGAAAACCACAAAGAGACTCGACGAGGGACAAGGTATGCTCCACAAAGAGGTCATCGCCCTTTCTCTTAAACTTCGGGTGCTCTTTTTGTTGTAGGACGAAAACGATATCCCCAGTAACAGTGTCAGGCTGAACAAAAACCGATTATATCACATATGTCAAATTGCAAGTATTATAGCACCCCCACCCCCGGGAGAACAAGAAGAAGAAGAATGCAGTCTTACCGCTTCATCCGCTTCACCAGGGAATGTAATCTTCTGTCCATTTTGCATACCCTTCTCCACAATTACTTCCAAAACTTTCTTCTCCTGTACGACCTTTTCACCCTTGCACTGTGAGCAACGATCTTTATCGTTAATGGTTTCACCAGTCCCCTTGCATTCATTACAAGGATGCTGCATTTGTTGGATCATAGAAGGGCCAAGGTGTCTGATGGAAACTTTCATACCAGATCCTTGGCAGCCAGGACATTTCATTGAAGCACCAGATTTCGAGCCCTTACTGTGATTGTTGTAGCAAAGACCACGTGAGTTCAGAATATAACAACAATTAATGAAGGGAAAACAAAACGCACCACCATCACAGTTACTCACCCCTTGCACTTTGAGCAAATTA